GTACATAGGTAAAGGTTAAGTCACCTTTTGGAACTGGTCCTAATGGGATGTTCCTTGTTTTTTTTCCCAAAACAAGGCACAGTAACTTTTCTCCTGGATGGTTTTGGATGGAGGTGGGGGAAGGACAGGAGGGTAGAAATGTGGGTGTGCACCTGGGCACCCCCACAGCCAAACCTCAACCACCTCGCTGCCTTTTTATTTATTTTTTTTTCCACAGGAAATCTCCTCCCAGCGCCCCATTTGCTGAAATATTGCTCAAGAAATTGGGTAAAAACTGCACCAAGCAGGGGGAGAGGAGAGCAGAGGCAGGGATGGATCCCCTCGACCCGTGACCACCCCAATTCCCTTCTCCCCCCTGCAGAGCCCCTTTGGTGCTGCTGTGCCCTGCTCCCCTCTGCTGAAGGCACCTTTGGAAAGCACTTCTGGCCCTGAGCACGAAGCCCCAGAGCCTCTTATTTACACCTGAGATTAACCCCGCGCTGCCCCCAGCCCCAGAGCCACCCCCGGGGGGTGACAGCAGCAGCTTGGGGACAGCAATGCCACACCAGGCAACCCCACAAATGACCCTGTGGGCTCACACGCAGCTGGCTCTGCCACCCAGCCGTGTCACACCGAGTACTTGGCCATGTCACCCTTGTCAAAAACAACTTTGGTAGCGAAGTAGATGGCGACCAGCCCGAGAGCAGCAGCTGACACCATGTAGGCAGTGACAGACTGCGTGAACTGCACGATGGAGCCCATGAAGAGCGAGGGCACCACCTGGGACAGCAGGAAGGCGCTGTCCAGGATGGCCAGGTCCAGGCAGATCCCTCTGCCAGGAGCCCCCAGCTCCGGCTCCCCCACCACGATCCGCAGGGAGACGTCGCAGGAGGAGGGGACGCACAGAGAGGAGCTGGACACGGCTGGAGGGGAGGAAGAGGAGGAGGAGGAGGAAGAGGAAGAGGAGAAGAGGCTCCCAGTGTGGCCGTTCTGGTAAGGCAGCTTCTGGCTGGAGAGCAGCCCCTTGGAGAAGGTGGATTTCTTGTCCAGCAGAGCAGCATCTTCCTCCTCTTTCCTCTTGTATTTGTGCAGAAATACCTGTGGGAAGGAGGGAGGTGTGTGAGGAGGGAGCCTTGTTTTCGTGCAGGAGAGCAAAACCAGAGCTTTGTGTGTGTTCTGGGGAGTGCCAGCCTGAGCCTGGCCCACGTGAGACGGGCCCCAGGAGCCAGGCTGGCTCTTCCCAAAGCAGCCCTGACTCACCTGGGGAGCCCAGCCAAGCGGGGCCTGGGCTGTGCTCAACAGCCCAAAGCCAGCCTGGGGACATTTCGTGCTTTTGTCACCTCCTCACTGGGTGCCAAAGGAACCTGAGCTGAGCCCAGCCTAAAATCACCTGAGGTAGGGCAGGAGTGAAGAGCCAGGGTCTGCTCTGGGGTACCAGGGCAGGGCAAACAGGAATATTTGGGGTTTGTGGGAACACAAAGCCAGAGCCTGGCACGAGCAGCCACTTCTCATCTGGGATGTTTAAAAGTGCCACCAGCTGGGACACAACAGTGCTGGGAACTCGGGGAAGGGCTCCTTTCTCAGCTCTGCAGCAAACCTCAACCAAGCTGCTCCACTGCTCCAGCCAGGAAAAAGGGAGCAGAGGGAACCGAAATCTTTTCCCTCTCACCCTTTTTTTGCCTCGCTCTGCTCGAGCTGTGAGGTCTGTGAGTGTTCCCACAGAGCATTTGTTCACACCAGCAGCCCATGGGCAGGAGAGACCAAAGGCAGCTGTGCCCTCCCCTCTCTGCACTCCCAGCCTTTGGCAAAGCCTTGGGAATGTGGAGTTTGGGTTTCATTCCATTGATAAAACATCCATGGGAGATCCCAGCCAAGCTGCAGCTCTTGCCAAGCTGAGCATTCCCTCACCACCCCCCCCCTGTTCTGACAGGGCTCCTGGTGCCAATTGGGATGGGCTGTTCCAAAGGGTTTGTTCAATGGGAACATCTGGATGCCTGTGGTAACAACTCCTGCTTATTCCACGGCACAGCCAACCACTGCCCCTGGGATGAAAGAGCTGCTCACAAACCACAAATTAATTCTGCATTTGCAGCACAGGAGAAACTCCCATTAATCCAGTGTGCAGCTCAGGAACCTCCTAGGACTTCTCCACAAGGATAACATCTGTGGGACAGGGTTACGAGCTTTTGTGCTGGTGTCACAAGTTTCACAAGGTTTATTTTTCTTGGAGCTAAGGGAATAGGAAGAGCTTTGGGTTTTCATTTTACTGATCATGGTGCTGTGGACGAAAACTGGAAAGCAGGACCTGTGAGAGCTGGAAACCCTTGAGTTTTATCACACCTCAGGCTGGCAGAGCTGCAGAATTCCTGTGTGGGTAACTAAACCAGACCAGTTTCCCTAAAATATGGGAAAAATATATTAAAAAAAAACCATGCAGGGCCCTGGGGCAGATCCCCACCTGTTTGTCGTGGTGGTAGAGGGATGCCAGCGTGTAGGGCAGGATCTGGAGGGCAGAGAAGGTGAATCCTGTCAGGGCAGCAGAGATGGTGACCACGGTGACACTGTGGGACAGGCACATGACAAAGGCTGCCCCGGGGAAGAACACCACGCTGGCCAGGTACACTGCCCGGGTCCCAAAGTGCTTCACCAGGCGGTCCATGATTGTCGAGAAGAAGATGGAGGTGATGCACTGCAGGAAGAGGCCCAGGCTGCCCATCCGGACACCTGCAGGGGGAGAGGGCTGATGGACACTGCCCTGGCTGCCCCCACACATCCTTCCCTCGGTCCTTAACCCCAAAAACATCCTTCTCTCGGCCCCAAATCCCAAAACATCCTTCCCTCTCTGTTAGTCCCTAACCACAAAAACATCGCTCTCTTTCTGTCAGTCCAAACCCCAAAATCATCCCTCCCTTGGTCCCAGACCCCAAAGCATCCTTCCCCCTCTGTCAATCTCTAACCCCCAAAATATCCCTCTCTTTCTGTCAGTCCCAAACTCCAAAAACATCCTTCCCTCTCTGTCAGTCCCTAACCCCAAAACCATCTTCCCCTCGGTTCCAAACCCCAAAAACATCCTTCCCTCTCTGTCAGTCCCTAACCCCAAAACCATCCTCCCCTTGGTTCCAAATCCCAAAAACATCCTTTCCTCTTTGTCAGTCCCAAACTCAAAAATATCCTTCCTTGTCAGTCCCAAACTCCAAAACCATCCTTCCCTCGGTTCTAAACCCCAAAATTTCCTTTCCATCAGTCCCAAACCCCAAAACCATCATTCCCCCTTCTTCAGTCTCTAACCTCCAAAACAAAACACCTCTCCCTTTCTGTCAGTCCCTAACTCTAAAAAACATCCTTCCCTGTCAGTCCCAAACTCCAAAACATCCCTCCCTCTGCTTCAGTCCTAAACTCTCTAACAGAGAGCGAGGCACAGCCAGCCCTGCCAGCCTCAGGAAGCAGAGCAGCATCACCTGAGCACTCCCAGCATCGCAGCAGCCACCCCCAAACCCTCCCTCCACCCTGGGCACCCCAGCCCAGCCACGGGAGAGGGAACCCGAACACCATCCCTGCCTCTGGAAGTCATTTCTGCCCCTTCCTGCTCTGTCACCTGCTGCTGAACCAGGATCCGTTGTTATCTGATGCCAAAGGCAGCAGCAGAACAAAGGCAGGAGGAATTGTGCTGGAGCCAAGGTAAAGTACAGAACATGCTCTAAACTGCAGTATCCGGTGGCAATCCGGACCTTACCCTTTGCAAAGATCTCTCAGATTTCAGGGAATTAAAGCCATTAACTCTTTGGAGCAGGGATCATTACTCAACACATGTTTCTATGACAGCCAGCACAATGGAGGGCTGACCTGCTGCGAGCTAAACAGTGCAAGTGTTAAATAATAATTAAGCTGCCTCTAAGTTAAACAGACACCCAGCACAAAGGGGCAGTGTGCTGCAGGGCCCTCCGAGTGGAAAACTGCAGGAGGAGGGCCAGGAAGGTGCCTCCAAAATGAAAGATTT